CCTTTTTAATCGAGTTACGGCTGTCAGAATACTTCAGGCTGGAGCTTCTGCTCTGCTGAAATCTTCTGAAGCCCTCTCGAGACTTCTGTCCGGTCTTAATCATGTAGGTCTCTGCTTCTCTTAATGTAATTATATGAGCCACTCAGTTGTGGCACAGCCCCACCATCATCCTAGCAGAGTGGACCAATGGGAAGTGGTTATTGTTCATTTTTAAACTCTGTTCAGAGTTCAGTGCCGGGTGAATTCTATTTGAATGAGCGCATAACTATGCCCTACTCACTCTGAATTGTACAGTCTCTTTTTGGTACACCCTATATGTAGACCTACTTCACTGCCATTATTTTGACATAATAATATGCAGCAAAATTCATGTTTATAGCACTTAAAGGGTAGTTAATCCAAAAATGAAAATTCTGTCATGGTTTACTGAACCTCGTGTTATTCTTATGACTTGCTTGCTTCTGCAGAACACGAGAAGAGTTTCTGAAGAATATTGGTGTCAGAACAAGATTAGACTTTCATGGTACGGACACAAAAAAAGAAAAGAAAAAATGGTAAGATATTTGCATTCCACAGAAGAAAGTCAGTCATAACTTTGGAGCGACATGAGGATAAGTAAATGATAACACAATTTTCATTTTTGAGTGAGCTATGCCTTTAAGATTGTTGGCAAGATTTTTATTTTTTGGTTTTGTCTCTTATTCCTCTCTATACTCTTTCTCTTGTTTTGATTGACAGTTGCTGTTATCTCCAGCACTGGTGCTTCTAGGACTTTGTCAGTTGAAAGTGTTTTTTGACAGAAAAGAAAGCACATGTTCAACATTGTTAATCCTTGATGATTGACATGAGTATACTTTAAGAGCATGTATGTTTGCATAGACTGAGATTTGTGTTTGAGTGTCTCATGCTTGCTGTTTTGCTGGACGCTTTAGCGTAGATGGAGCCTAAGCCAAGATAACCTCTGTGGATAACCTCTGACCTCTGTGTGCTACTACTGTGCGGACTGAAATATGGCTTTAGAAACAGGGATCCACTTTTCCTTTTTTTTTCTTCTTCTTCAGTACCCAGCTACCGCTTATCATTTTCCTCCTGGTGGACTTTGACTGATGTTGAATGATATTTTAGTTGCTGCTCCTTCCCCCTTTTTTCTTTCCGCTGCTCTCTCTGCATTCACATGATCCAGAACCATAGATAGTGAAGCGAAGTGTTTTTGATTCAGACTTCTCTGTTCATTATCTGTGCAGGTCAATTTTAAGATAAGACGCTTTTCCTGACCTTTCTCAGTAACGTTAGCAGATTTCTCACAGAAACCTCTAGAAATTACCATAAGCGGTGATCATATCAGAATGCATGGATGTTAACTAGCCACCTTAAAAGTTGTGAGTTTGAAACCCCCTTGTTAATTTACTTGGGGTGGACAGGATGATTGAGGTTCATCAGTTATTTATTCTATAAAGCTACAAATTTGCTCGTCAAAACTTTTTGCACCTCTTTCTTGCATCTCTTTTTACTCCTTTTGAAAATGCTGCAATACAATATTGATTTGAAGAAAATTAGGTATTGAAACACTTTGACAGGGAATCAGTGATAAATGTCAGAGACATATATAATTGAACACTTAAAATGGATAGTTCCCCCCAAAAAGGAAATGATTGCTTTATATGATGAACAGATTCAATTTATGCTTTGTCACATATAAAATTGATTAATGCACGTACATGGAGAACATCAAATGTAATAAAAAAGATTCTCAAACATGCTTGACATGTGAGAACCAATTAGGTTTGTTCTTGTCTGCTACGTAAGCATGTTTGAGCTTCCGCAAGAACCAATGAAGTTTGTTATTGTGCGTTAAGCATGTACTGTTCCACTTCCATTTCCCTTTGCTCTCTGTATGTGCATTGATCAAATATTTGTTTTTTTTAAGCGTCAGAGTTTTGGAGGAATCAACTCCAATAGTGGGACAAATCTCCCAGCAGGTTTCAAAAATATCTTAATTTGTGCTTCAAAGATGAATAAAAGTTTTATGGGTTAGGAAGAATGTAACAAAGTATTTGATGACAAAATTTTCAGTTTTGGGTGAGCTTGGCCTTTAAACTAGGAGAATTCTTATTCTTTTTACTGAGTACATGAGAAAACTGTTTACATGTCATTTGAAGAGGCCAACAAAGCTACTTCCTATCCTCTTTGATTATCCTCTTGATTTCACTTTTTTCTTTCTCTCAGATCTCATATGCTCATATTTGCTCCCAGCAGACATTTACTACTGCTGTATCTATATCGGATTTGCTCATCATTCACATTTACGACTATGCACTTGAGCTCCATTTGCTACGGTTCAAATCACAACTCGCATACCAGCCCATTGTGACTCATCCCATGTTTAGTAGACTTTTAAAACACATTTTTATTAAGACGGAACCTGAAGCTACTCTGCCAGATAACTGAGTAGGTCCTTCTGAATATAGGACACGTTTTACTTTGGCCTCTTTTCCTGGTTGTTTATGGTGAGGGTTATTGTTATTGCTTTCTTTACTAAGCTGATCTCTCTTTTCTGTGCTGGATATTATCAATGTTGTCATTATTCAGGCTCAAGCTCAACTGACTTTGGCCTGTGTGAGCCTTTGGGGCTGTCGGCCCAGTTCTAGAATGCACTAAACAATGCTGAGAGCCAGAGGGCAGCCAGAGGTGAGAGGAGAACTAACGAGAAAAGGAGTGGCATGGATGAAGTGATAGTGGCAGTGATGGCACAAAGAGAACAAAACACTTTAGCATTAGTGACTACAGAACACAAAACTAATTGACTTTGAGGTTAAGAATGTTATCCTCTCATCTTACTTTTCCTTCTACAGATCAGCTCATTCGCATTGACCTCATTAAGTCGTAATGATTAATTGTACTTCATCGACTGGTTATTCACAAGCCGTTGTAGGTGGCTACTAGGTTACTAGGGCATATGTGATCATTACATAAGCTCCCCACCAGAGCATTTTTAGATTTATTGCAACAGTAAAGTGGCAAATCAAACCGTGTTTTTCCAGAACGCTGCCAGAAAGAGCAACAAGTCTAAGGGGAGAAAAGAATTAACACTGCAGTCAATTCCCAACACCCCCAGGCTATTAACGAGAATAGCTATTCCTGCCGCGTTCCAAACAAACAAGTACGACGGTCGGAATAACTGTTATAAGCCCTTATCCAAATGGCCGAGAGCGGAGAGAGAACCAGGGTTGACGCTGAGGCTGAGGGAGAACTGAGAGCAACACACCAATGTGCAACGTCATGTTTTCTTTTTCTCTCCCTTTCTCTCCATCATTCTTTCTTTTAGAAGAATGAAAGGAAGTGATAATCCAGCGCCCGCCCGCCCCCATACTCCAGCTCCTCTCTAGCATGGCCCTCTGTTTGTTCAGAGAGGGGCTGATAACACTATCGGGGGTCACGCTGAGGTCAAAGAGAGAGACCGAGTGGAAGTTCATTGAGAGGTGAAGGCGGGGTGGAGAGGCAGAGCGGAAAGGTGAAACCCGGGTCATGGACGAGTTTGACACACTAGCTCGCGCTGTGTGGTATGCAAGTGCATTCAAATTGCAAATGACAGCGGCAAAACCTGACTTCTTTCTCTCTCTCTCCTCCTCAGCCTTCCTCCCTTGGTGGTTCTGTACAGACCATGCCAGCAGGAAGAAGAGAAAAGAAAGGAACAAACAAGTTATGAATGCAAATCCAAAAATCACTTATCTTACGCAGGTGCTTATCAGCCATCGCACAGGGTGTGTGCACGTGGTTTGAAGAGCGGGTGGTTAAACTTGTTGTTTGTTAAAAGTTTGATTTCAGATGGACCTAAATAATAAGTGCTTATTTAAATGCTTTAGTCTGAAATTGTACCAGTCCGTTATTTTATCATGAACTAAAGTTGAATTCACTTTTACTGTTACTTGGTCAAATTTACAATTGTTTTCATGGGCGAAATCCGGGCATTTCAATAGGAATCCACGCAATCGTGAACTTCCCATTAAAAAGCAAAAGAATTTCCCACACAGATTTCATAATGACTAACAGAAATCTCCTTAAGTTTGGAAGTGACTTTTGTGTGAGCTGTGCTTCATACATTGATACTGTACAGTATTGATAATGGACCTTTTTGCCTGCAAAATTTCACTAATGTGATCACAGTTTAGCAGGCCATGAAATTTTGCTATTTAACTTAACAGACCTAGATAATGCAATTTTAGCTTGGCTTCGTCTTAGATGTATAAAAATCAATCAAACTTCAGTTGTCCTCAGCTTTGTGTGGTTGTGCTGAAATACAGAGGTGATATGTATTTAATCCTAGAATTTTCAATGTATTCTTGGAAAGACAGCTAAAGACTGTTTGTCTATACAAAAACCTGCAGTCAATTTCACATACTTATAGCCATGTCTTGCTGTCATGGATGTATTTTTCTCATGCACACATAGGCACACATTTTTTTGCGTCCGTTGATGTGTCTTTACAATTGAATACAGAGACTTTTGTGTAGTCATTTTCCTTTTTTCTGTTTGCAAGTTTGATGACATGTTTGATTGTGTTTGTTTGCATTCCCAGCACTGAATCTGCGTCTAAATGTGTGTGTTTGTGCGAGTGGGTTTGTTTGGGAGGGAGGAATGTGCTCTGTTGTTTATTGAGCCAGTGCTGTGGGGTGCACTTTTGGCCAGGCTCCAGCAAGGTCAGTAGCTGTCCGGGTCAATCACGGGTCATTGCCGGCCCATTATCGGGTCAGGTCCGGGTGAAAGAGTGTAAATGGCTGTTCTCTCTTTAACCTCCCTCCATTCTCCTCTAATCCCCTGCTTTGTCATGTTGCTTTCCTCTGTGTCTCCTCTATAATCTCATTTAAGGGGCCCTGCTCACTTATGTAACATTGGGAGAAGTGAACTAGCCTGATCTAACAAGGGCCAGCGATAGTGTTTAATGAACTTTAATGATTTCTCTTTGTCTTTTCTTCCCTGCACCACCACTGTCCTCTGTTTAGTTACTGGATCTCTTCACTCAGTGGGACTGGTCCACGTATCTGGCTGACTACGGCCGACCCACCTGCAAGTACCTGAGAGTCAATCCTCACACGGCTCTGGCCCTCCTAGAGAAGTGAGTCTCACTTGCCACTCTCTTCTCCTCACTCATCAAACCACATGCACTTTTGTCAAGACATCAGATCAGATGCAAACCATTTTTTTCCCTCTCATCTCTCATCTGTTACTCATGAGCAGGATTTCTCGGTCGTAAGTACTCTGCATTTGGTATTTGTGATGAGAGTGCTCTTTTACATGGGTAATTTTCATTAAATGTCCAAGTTGTTTTTCACCCTGAAAAAGAAGGAAAAGAAACAATATTTTAAATAGAGGAAATTAACCCTTTTTATGGTTTTAGTATTGTGACATTATTTTTATGGCAGTTAAGCATATACCTAAATTTTATAGCATATACCATTATTATATAACTAAAAATCTCACTCTTGTCATACAGTAATGAAAAACTATCTGTCCAGATACAATGATTAATATTTATAGAATTCAAATCTAATTTTGTAAATAAAATATAAAATCTTAGTCATTTTTATATTACAAAATTAAGTACAATAATACTACCATGATGATAATATAACAATACTGATACTTACAATTACAATGTTCTTTAATAATGTACTTTGCAGTAAAAATTTTTTATATCTTTGCCCAGTGTATATTAATGATAACATATTTATCAATCATCATATAAATACACAATACATACAAACACAAACACACACACAAAAATAATAATAATATATTATTTATATTTTTAGTTTTTTGGAGTGAAATACGGCCTGGACCTTTCTTAACATTTTTTTTTAATGTTCACTCACATGTTCAGTGTGTGTTAAGTTTGTAAGGTTTGGTTCACATTATGACTTTTGCTGTACATTATATACAAGAGTGAGTGTTAATGTCAGTGTTTTGCATGCTGTCATTAAAACTCCTTATGTGTTTGCAGAATGTATGCATTCCTCAGTGTTGTGTATGTGTGCATTTGCTAGACTTCGATCACTTCTGCTTTCCTCTGTCACTCTCTTTTTCTTTGCCTCCCTCCTTCCCTTCTCTGGCTGTCCTCTTGTATCTGTGATATAAAGCAGCAGTGGATTGGCATTACACAACCACACACACACACACTCGCCTGATCCCATTAGAGCTGCACTTACCTCAGCCTTACCCTCTTGCCTCTCTGTCTCTGTGAAAGTGATCTGTATTATTTAGCCCGGGCCAGGGTTAGCACACCACTAAACACGAATACTGTGTGTGTGTGTGTGTGTGTGTGTCTGGAATCAGAGCACGACTGGCTCGTTGAGGAGAAAAGCTTTCCTTTATTGGAGTGTATTTGAAAAGACAAGGATTTTAGTTGCTTAGAGGGGGGAAAGGAAGATTAAATGTAAGAACATGAGTTTTAGTTTGTTTTAAAAAACTCATCCAGTAAAATCTTTATTGTTTCTAAGTGGATTAAGCATCCAAACTGAGGAAGTGAAGTCGGATCAGCAGTGATGTGATTGTGTATCACCTCATTGCAGGGATAGCCAATATTTCAAGGGTACTGTTGCATATCCAATTTTCTAACATTCAGAACAAGAAAAAATGTGGAATAAGAAAAATATTGTATAGAAATGCACCAAACTCTTAACAGTCATAACAAAACTTTGAATCATTTTCAGATGTACATACATGTTGCTGGGGAGAAAATGCTAAATGTAAACAACAAAATGCACGTTAACGTCGGTGTGAGGGACACAAAATATGGTTTGGATATGGTTTTATAAATGCTTAAAAAATGCAATTTAATTGTTGCATTTAAGATGATTGATCAATTTTGTTTTTACTACTTTTATTATTTTTAAACAAAAATGAATGACTGTTGTGAGTGTCAATTTATTTGTCAGATCCAAAAGTGATTACATTACATTAATACATTGACAATTGTTTGCTTTTTTATTTTTAAGTGGCACTCCTAGTTCCCCGTAGCATCTGTCCACATTAGGCCTGTGTCCTCATCTACACAAGGTAGAAGTGAAATATGGTAGAAATATGAAAATTCACTTGCAGCGAGAATAAACATGGTTTGTGCCGACCACAGTATGTTTTGTGCAATGAATTATCGCCAACCAAGAGCATTAAACCATCAAAATTCAAGAAACATTTTAAACCCAGACACTCAAACTATAAAGACAGGTCTGTTTTGTGTTAATAATTTTAGTTTACAGTAAACAGTTTTGCTTCTGTGTCGGGTCGGTAGCTGATCTCCGATGTAAAATCCTTGCCTGAAGCAGAACCAGTTGAGCGTCACTTTTCTAATACTCTGTCCACTTCAATCTCCACTTCTTGTTTGTTGAACTCCAGAAGCAAGACACAAACTCTTATGCTCAGCAAAGCAAGAATTCCGCACTAGGTGGTGGTGGTTCTTATCACCATGGTAATCACAGGCGGCTCTCTGTAATAAAGCTGTGATGCATATCACAATGGCAGTATAGTCATGTGTCCGTGGCGATGGCTATCTTGTCTAATACTTCTAGCGAATAAGACATGCAGGAAGAGTTGATAGAAGTAGAGTGAGTGGATTTGTTCCTGGTGGTGATAATGAAATTTCTTCCGTAACAGATCGACTCTTTAACAATATTTGTAACTTGAATTGTGTTCATAAGGACCATATTCTAGACTTTGTAGTATTTTATGGTTTCTCTGAAGTTTGTGAATGTTAATTAAATGGTTTCTTGCAACAAAGTTTAGTTTTGCCCCGTTCTACCTAATGTCTAACCCTTTTTTTTTTTGTACTGTACCTTTAAAAAATTATATATGTACAGTTTAGGATCAGGAAGTTTTTTTTAAAGGAAATGAATACTTTTATTCTGAAAGAACACATTAATTTGATCAAAAGTGATAGTAAGACAATGTTTAGTTCACCCAAAAATGAAAATTAGCCTGAGTTTTACTCACCCTCAAAGCATCCTAGGTGTATGTGACTTTCTTCTTTCAGACGAATCCAAACAAAGTTATATTAAAAATGGTCCTGGCTCCTCCAAGCCTTACAATGGGGGTAAGTGGTAGGGCTGCACGATAAATCGAAATGGAATCGAGATCTCGATTTGACAGAAGCTGCGATTGTAATGCGTATCTTTCAGTGAAGCACGGTTCTGTGATCAGCAGTAAATCTCCATCCAAAGGCCAGAGGGCGCTCTCGCACTGAAACTCCAAATACGCCTCGCAGAAGAAACCCAGAAAATGCCTATGGTTGCAGCTGAATAAACAGAAGATTCAATGTGACTAATAAACACACGACTACGGCAATATACGGTTTATCTGAGTTCTTATTATTATAATTTTCATTAAAATAAAGTATATTTATAATGCAATGCCTTTATCACTGATTAAATACTATGAAATATGTTGCGTGCCTTATTCTGTGTAAGAAGCCACATCATCTCACAGAAGGATTTATTTCAAACACTTGACTGACGTTATGAAGTGAGTTTGGAGTAAAAATATGTTATTAAATGTGGTATTTTCACATGCTTTCAGATGGAGCAGCATTTACTTCACAGAGCCATAGTTCACTGATTTCTTTGATTTCAGAATCGCGCAATAAAATTGTCTGCGTAACTTGTCAGTGAACTACGGCTATGTGTAGTAAATTCTGCTCCATCTGAAAGCACGCAATGATGATTTACTGCTGATTACAGAACCGGCTTTTTTAACAAAATGTGCATGACAATCGCATTCGATTAATCATGCAGCCCTAGTAAGTGGGTGTTCGGTTGTCAACAGTTCAGAAGACGTGAAATACAGTGCGCGCATCCATAATAAAACATGCCTCACATGGCTCCGGGGGATGAAAAAAGGCCTCCTGTAGCGAATAGTTATATTAAAAATTGTCCTGGCTATTCCAAGCTCTAAGCCCTAGTAAGTGGGTGTTCGGTTGTCAACAGTTCAGAAGACGTGAAATACAGTGCGCGCATCCATAATAAAACATGCCTCACATGGCTCCGGGGGATGAAAAAAGGCCTCCTGTAGCGAATCCATGCATTTTTATAAGATAAATATCCATATTTTAAACGTAATAAACACTTTTCTCACATTTCCGGTATTCTGTCATATGCGGAAGGTGATCCAACAGATGACGTAGGACGTCGGCGTTGCATGATTACTGACGAGCGCGGAGAGAGAACAAAACAAAATGCCGGTCACGAATTAGAAGCACAAAACAAAGATTTGTAAAGAAGAATGTCGGAGGATTTCGATACAAGCCAGGAGGAGACTGGTTTTCCTTTTGCTAAAGTAAGGAAACATTGTTTCCTTTGCTCCTGCATTTCTCAGAGGTGCGCGCATGACACCTACGTCCTACGTCATCTGTCTGCATGTCTTCCGCGTACCACAGTCAGTGGAAGTGAGAACAAAGTGTTTATTACGTTTGAAATATGGATATTTATCTTACAAAAATGCATGGATTCGCTACAGGAGGCCTTTATTCACCCCCTGGAGCCGTGTGAGGGACGTTTGATTATGGATGTGTGCACTTTATTTCACGTCTTCTGAACTGTTGACAACAAACACCCGCTTACCCCCATTGTAAGGCTTGGAGGGGCCAAGACCATTTTTAATATAACTCATCTGAATCCTGATTGGATTCGTCTGAAAGAAGAAAGTCACATACACCTAGGATGCTTCGAGGGTGAGTAAAACGTAGGCTAATTTTCATTTTTGGGTGAACTAACCATTTAAATAAAGATTTCTATTACGAAAGATGTTACAAAAGATTTATTTTGCAATATTAAAGAATAATGTTTCGCAATATTACTATTTTGCAGTGATCAAATAAATGAAGCCTTGGTAAGTATAAGAGACTTCTTTCGGAATCGTAAAAAAAAAAAAAATTAACAACCCCATACTTTCGAACTGTAGTGTTTTTGTTGACAGTTAGCTTAAAAATCTTGCTAATTTTCAGTTTAAAATGAGCAAGGAAAATACTATTTTCCATAATATTCCCCCTTTTAATTTTCAGGCTGAGGACTACAGACTGTTATTTTTTTCCCTTTTTTTTTCTTTCAATGCCTTGATGGGTCACTTCAGTATTTTGTCAAACTCTGAGAGCTTGGCCACGATTTGTCTGGTTGCGAATGAGAGGAATGTGCAGGCATTGGCTCAGTGATCTCCAGGCTACTGAGAAGAAGCATTTGGCACAAGTGGCAGGAAAGTGAGCATGTTCATTAGAACCTCCATGCAGGACTGCTCCAAGGCTCCTGCATGGCACACCATATGGAGCGCCTTTCTTACCACACAGTGGTAGTCTCAGTTAAAGTCTGTGCCCTTCCTCAAGCTCTTTAGTGGTGTAGCACTCTGTGACCGTCATGACATTAGGTTAAGTGGCCCCCTTGTTTTATATTCATTTAAGGTCTTATAAATGATGAGTTTGGATTGATTACGCTTTAGTGAAACAATGCTACTCTTTCATTCTCTGTTTGGTCTCTCTTTGTTCTGCGTTACTGCTACGAGCATTTAATTCTGAGGATACATGAAAGTCTAGAGTGTCCAAGTGGAAGAAACCAATCCATTTTTTTCTGGTTTTGTAATCTAATGATCTCATATGCTTCATTCATTGTGTGCAGGATGAAGGACACCAGCCGCAAGAACAACATGTTTGCTCAGTTCCGTAAAAATGAACGGGACAAGCAAAAGCTCATAGACACTGTCGTGAAGCAGCTGAGAAATCTCATCGCCACCAACCAGGCCTGAGAAAGCCATCGATTCAGCACACGGCCCCACGTCTTGATGAGTTGCCACCAGACTGCGCTTGCACACCTCCAATAGTTGGACATATTGTTCTTTTCGCACATAGACACCTGCACTATCATGCACGTATATAGATGCACCTCTCTGAAAGGTGCGCCTGCTAAACCATCCCGTGCCCTTGTGATATGGTATCCATGTCTTCCTTCCTCAGTTGCCTTTTATTGTCTTGTATCGGGTGTCAAAAGGACTGTTCTCCTGTCACAATTTGAATGGCCTTTACAATAGTTCTAAAGTATTATTTCTCTCATTTTGAATTTGACAAATAGTTACACTGTAATGTGGATATTACTTAAATTGCTGCAAAGTTAAAGGAAATTGGAACACTAACTAGACTTGAATATTGCTGTCATCATTTCTAACATATCAAATTTAAAGGGATAGTTCCCCTAAAAATGATCATTTACTCACCCTCCTTTCATTCCAAACCTGTATGACTTTCTTCCGTGGAACACAAAAGACTATATTTTAAGAAATGTCTCTATTTAGTTTGTCCATACAATGGAAGTCAATGATTACCAATACTATTTGGTTACCAACATTTTTCTTTTTCCATATTTTCTTTTGTGTTCTACAGAAGAAAAATTCATACAGGTTTGCAGCAACATGTGGATAAATGATGAAAGAATGATCATTTTGGATGAACTATCCCTTTAATATGTGTGAGAATATAAATTAATATTCTCACAGAGGGGTCAAGGGTTCATTTGAGTGCTGATCATAATGAGTGAAGATTTACTGAGTTCTCAATACAGGGAATCTAGTTACTGCTCTTGTTAAATCTTTTATGTGTAGTAATTGTATGCTAGACATACTTCAGCTTTAGTCTGTTTACAGCCAAGACATAGATTATAGCTTAATACCTTAAAAGAACAACAGCTGTGTGGCAGATTTGAAGAAGATTAGTTTACTATTTTCATGAAAATGATCAGGTTAAGATTAAGGTTTTGCGTTTGTTGATTGGACATCAGATATGCAGAATAGAGGCTTTTGTCTCTTGTATTAATTAATTGCAAATATATCAGCCAGCATTCAATGCCAAAACTGACTGAGGATGTGTAAGGTAGGGGAACCTTCTATTATACTGGCATAAAGATAGAGAATTACAAGAGCGGGCTAATGTCAGCACATTTATACAGACGTGAGTTTATGTACACCACTGTACATTAAAACTAATATAAATTGCTTTAAAGTATTTAAGCAGTGTCGTCTTCCCATAACTTTGATATTTTCTCTGATAGGAATGAGGGTGCAATATTGTGTATTTCTTTTCAAATGGAGTTTTAGGGAGCAGAGATTGTTGTGTTTAAAGGGAGTTTTCTTTTTCTTTCATTTCTATTTTTACTGGCACAAAAGATGTGTGTTTGAAGCCTGTCCCTTACAATGGATGCAAAACCATTAAAGTATAAAGGGAATTCTTCATTTTTAGGGACAGAATGAGCGCCACGTCAAATTATTTCGAGCTGTTTTCTGGATTCAGCTCTTTCTGTTTGTGCCTTGACTTTTTTTCATGCCAATAATTAACAGTTTTTCCCCGCACAGCACCTGGTCTTGGACATATGACCAGGGAATGGACATGAGTTGGCGTGTAAAAGCGAGCACGCATGAGTACATTCAGCCTTAGCAGACAGCTCTGATTGTAGAGAACAGTAATGACTCGAGAGAGACACACTGTACAGATTGTTGTATTAAACCACTAATGAATATTACCATACTAATAAATTCAGCAAATGCCAACAAATATGTAATAAATCAAGAGTGTGTATTTTTTATTTTGCATCTGAATTGTAATTTTAACAGCATTTTACTTTCAGTTTGGGAACAGGGTCATGAGATTTGATTGATTGATTTTTGTATTATTTGAATTTGAATGATATTATAGTATTTATTAATATTTTATTTTCTTATGGTTTTCGTTTTAATTTTTAGTATTTTTAGTGATTTTGACTTTATATATATATATATATATGTTTCTGTTTAGCTTGAATTTAGTTTAAATTTTAGTGATTTTATTACTTCAACTTCAACTTATTTTATTTTAGTTAGTTGCCAAGGCAGCATTTGGTTTAATATTTAATTGTACTTTTTGCAGCTTTATTTCAATTAACTTTTTTTTTTAAAGTTTAAGTTAACAATAATAACACTTGTCCAAATGTGCACTAACCACAGGTTAGTGGCTCTGATAGCCTTAAAATGTTTATAAACTTAGGTCAGTTAGTTTGAATTGAATTGATTGAATGAAATCATTCTCAGTCAAATAGTATCATAGTATGCTTGATATATGAAATATGAAAGCAGTGTAGTGGAGCATTACAGTGGTCAATGATTTTTGATGGGACCTTAGATGACCTAGAACCACTTGATGTACACCACTCTTCCCTCTTTCCTCCCACTCTATCTTACTCCATCTTCCGCCTTTTCATTGTGACACAAAACCTGCCTTATCCAATTTTGTGCAATCACTGTCCCATCATGCAGCGAGAGATGCCCCCTGCCACCGCCATTTATATCTGTGTGGAGAATGTTACTGAGCTGTGACCACACCACAAACACATTTTCCTTTTCCGCTTCTTCATTCTCTCAGACGAGACACAGTGGCCCTCCGGGTCTGTTGGTCTCCCACATGTTTTGAGAGTCGGGCAAAACAAATCTTTTGGGGCTCACTTGAGCGCGACAGGCTTTTTGTTGGGGTTCAGGAACCGAGCAGTGCCAGCTTATAACCGGATGATGAATCCTGCCTCCTACTGCCCATCTCAGTGCCCGTCTCCCTCCCTCACGCCCCAGGACCGATGGCGAAGTTCGGAAGTTCTGGCAGTTACGGCCCTCTTGAGCCAAATGTAAAACTGAAGATTAATTGTTTCTTCTTACGGCCCAAGATAAAGGACTTGTTGAATGATTTATACTTTTGTCATATAACCCATGGTGAGGGAATTTGGTGATGCAGTCCTCTTGGAAAGTTTTCTGTAACACTTCAATAGACTGTAATTTTATGCTAAACGTCCACAGACAACGGTGACTTCACATCCTGTGTGAGTTCAAGATGACTTGAAGTCACATTCACTGATTGATTTTGTTATTTAACCCTTTCCAAGCTAAGGACTACTCAAAGGATAGAGAAAAGGAGCAGGGACCGCCATATTTTATAAAGCTGAGTATAGCATTTTAAGCCTGACAAAATAACTTGCATATGGTACAACAATATAAAATACACAGGTTCCTGTTTTTATGTCTCTTTATGGCTGCAGGAGTTTAAGCACTACAGGAAAGCACAAGGACCATGCCAGGGTTCTCAACAACTGCAACGTCTGAAGCACTGTACTGCATTTTCTCTTTTTAAAGATAACATTTGCATTCCATTGTGCATGCATATAATAATCAACATATTTGCGCAATCCAGGAAGTAAAAGTTCCAATCAAAAATAAGTATAGGATAAAAAAAAAAGTTGTGCGATTTTTTTTTGAAAGATTAAATTAATAGATTCATTCAGGAATAATACAATACAAGTTTATTTGTATAGCACATTTAAAAACAACTGGTGTTGACCAAAGTGCTTTACAAGGCTAAAAGAAACACAATAATGACACAAAGCATTTAAGCACTAGAGAAACAATAAAAGTCGGATAAAAATAAATAAAAGCCTAAACAAACAAACAAAAAAAAAATACATATATATATATATATATATATATATATATATATACACACATATAAAAAAAAGATGAAAAGCAGCCTGGCTCCCCAGATTGACAAAGTTTGGGCGGATCTGATGTAGGCTGGAAGGCTATTCCATAACTTAGGACCTATGACCGCAAATGCGCGATCACCCCTATTTTTAAGTCTGGTTCTAGGGACATATAGTATATCAGAGTCCCTAGATCTAAGTGATCTAGACTGAGAAGGAGGATCACATATAAAATAGAGGAGAAAAGCTGCCTGGTTCCGCAAAGACTTAAAAACAAATAACAAAACTTTGAAATCAATTCTGTATTTGACTGGTAGCCAATGAAGTGAAATCAGAACCGGTGTGATATGATCACTTTTACGCTTCCCTTTGAGGAGCCGGGCTGCGGCATATTGAACTAACTGTAGGTGTGTGACATGTCTGAGAGGCACCAATGTACAAAGAGTTACAATAGTCTAGTTGAGATGTTACAAATGCATGCATGACCGTTTAGAAAATCTTACCAGATAAAAAGGGCTTAACCTTTGCTAAAAGACGAAGATGATAGAAACAAATCTAACCACAGCACATATCTGCTTATCAAATTTAAATGTACCTGTACCTGTATTCAAAAAGTTGATGGACAGTAAGAGTTTTTTCCCAACAGGGATGCATTAACTGTATTACAGTACATTGTTTCATATACTTTATGTTTGGTTAAAGTTTTGTGCGTGTGTTAGAGAGAAGGAAAGAGACGACAGAGATCAAGATCAGGCTTCACATTTGCATGTTGTTTTTAGCAGAACAAAAAGATTGTCCTGTGTCCTCTAACAGGCCATTACAAAGAAGAAGATGGATGATCTGCCAGAAACAGATGTATCTCTTGCTTCAACAGATGTTGTGATCTCCCGGGTAGTGCTACAAAAACACATCAGGATGAAACAAATAATGTGACTGAGAAAATGTCTTCATTACGGATCATGCTCTTCTGCATGTACAATTAAGGAATAATTAAAGGGGTCCTATTATGCTTTTTCACTTTTTTAATTTTAGTCAGTGTGTAGTGTGTATGTTTGGGCATAAAAACGATCTAGAAAGTTACAAATCTCAAAGTCCACTCCAAAGGGAGATATTTCGTTTTTTTAAAAACCCTTTTCAAGAACTACAACGAACGGCTCGTTTGGACTACAGCGTTTGTTTTCCGGGCTTTGTGATATCACAAAGCGACTCATTGGAATATCATTACAAATAATTCCCACCTACAGAAATTCGAATGGTTGGGGGGTGGGCAGGGGCGAGGTTGTGGTTAGAACGCTTGGTTGAGTGACTGCATCAGACGAGACGATGAAGAAGTGCTGCTGCAGAGTTAGTGCATCAGAGAAAACCAAAACCTGCTGTGCTGTAGCTTCAAATTTTCGGCATGTCTAGAACAATTCTTATAAGTATAACATGACACAGACAGATGCCAAACGGCACCACCGGTGTGCCTACACTCATAGAAAATAAAGTATTTTAATTTTAAAGATGTGGCGCGATGCTGTGCTTCTCATCCGGTGTGCGACCGCCTGAAACGCTGTTTTTTTTTCACCTCCGTGAAACGTCTTTGTTTGGGCTTCCGAAAGCAGATGATGTCAGGAAACAGTGGTTGCAATTTATTTTTTAACTCCGTTCCTGAGCATTATAACCCCAATTTGCTATTGTGTGCTGCGCATTTTACTGAGGACAGCTTCCACAACATGAGGGAGAAGTGCCGGATTCGCCAAA